TATAAATACTTCCACAACTGCAAGATTACTGTTATTTACAGCGAAATCAGATACTAGCGAATGCATGCCGGCAACCATAATAACGTTCACTTCGACCACATCCACGACGAGTGAATCCATGCCGGCACCCATAATAACGTTCACTTCGGCCACATCCACAACCACCAAAACACTGGTATACACAGCACATTCCGATGAGCAGGCACTTGGCGCGGGCAAACAAGGGGGTGGAGCGTACATGTAGCATCTTGTACTTCTTAACTCCTCGAGAGGGGCTTGCCGTCCTCTCAGCCTGACTGGAAACTGGCAGCGGTATGCTGCTCAAGCCCGGCCCCTCCCCTCGTGCTCGTCAACCCCCTCCACAGCTCAGGAACTACCTCCCAAGCCTGGCGGGGGCCGGCACTCGGAGCCCTCTGTCAAGAGAGAAGGCGCTCACACTCGCTCTCTGCAACACAGACAAAACCTGACTTGGTAACCCTAAGCACCTTGTCGGAAGCACTGGCGTCATCACTTGCATCTGATTTGCCAATCTCCTTTGCACATGCAGAAGATAGCAGAAGCTTTGCAAGGTCTAGTTGCTTCGCTTCCCGAATCCTTGTTTAATCGACTGCGAATATCATCCTCGTCCTCTGCACAACGTGCTTCCAAGCTCTGCTGGATGGCGGTGCTTTGTTATGAGACTTCGGCGCTTGAAATGGAGATGTTGCTAATGCTTGGTCGACCGCTGCCTTGCAAGTCAAGATGAGGTCATAGGACCATCACAAGGCACCAGCAGTTGCTTGTTCCGAGGCCTCCTCCCTTGGGAGTATCTTGGCACCTTCTGCTCTCCATCAAGAAGAAGCACCACATCTAAAAGCGTTAACAAGCGAAACTCGTGAGACATGGACGGAGGCCGCAAAAGCAGCAGCGGACTCTCGACCTCTACGACCTGGCAAGCGTGCGTCAATCTCAGAAAAAGATGCTCTGTGAATGTCGTCCTCCAAACTCGCATGGAGTGACACGGCCTTGTTTCGCAATAAGCATCTTTCGACGGTCGCATCAGATATGTCAAGCTCATACAGAGGGCAATCAAGCTAACCCAATGACATCCAATGTCCAGTGAAGACAAATCCGCCCACAACTTGTTATACCTACTTGTGTCCAGGACAGCACGGGATTGTGCAGCATGTGCTTGTTTTCTTCAAGTCTTGTGACGTTAGTCTCAGGCACTGGCAGTCCGGGGAGTTACCATCTCTAGCACATACCTTCCAAAGCATCGCGACATATCTACACTTAACTTTCTGTCTGAAGGTTGGCAACCAAAGCACGACAGAAAGTGACAAAGTTGTTGGACTGCAGTGGGCTTTGCTGAACGCGCACAAACTGCGTGGTTCACGTCGACTGCCACCGAGTGTCTCCTGAGGCTGCTTGACGTTGGAACATTAATCAAAGAGCTGGGACTTCTCTTGGCAAGGCACGCAAAGAGGGGCGTGGCCGCGGGCTGATGCAGGTGCCGCCACCTAGGCCCAAGCGGAGGGACAACAAACTCCTTGTTCTCTTCTTGTTCTCTTTGTCTGGAAGCCTCTGAAGAATGCCACCATGCCTAGGCACTCCCAGGTCAAAGGCAAAGTTTTCAGAACAGTTCTCTTGGGCAGCGAGCAACAGGAGGCCTCCCTCTCGGAGTTTCGGGAACAGGTCCTGGAGGTAACGAGGGACACTCGACTTCTGAGGCTTCTGTCTCAAGTTTGCCTTCTTGCACCACGCCGGAAGTCCGCTCGGATACGAGAGTCAAGTCCAACTTGAGATGGTGCTCCTGATGTGCACAGGTGTTGTCCTGCCCTTCCGGAGCATGCTGAGGTTGACGACCTTTCGTATTCTGGCACGGTGACACGGGAGCCTGCCCAAGATGGCCTTTTGAGTCTTCTTGAGCGAAACCTCCGATCTGGTAAACCGCCTCTCGCAAAATATGTCACCTCACGGTACACACGCTACACACGCTACACTCTGAGTCGTGAACGGACTGGGCCCTTCAAGCGGTGCAGCCAGGCAGCTGCGAAGACTCTCGACATCACTTGAGCTGGCGACACTGCCTCAAAAGGGAGGGTGGTGCTGCGTTGGTGCTGTGCTGCAGCACCAAACCCAGCTATGGAAGGATCGTCTTCAGAGCTGATTTACAAGAATATCCGGCGACAACATTCCTGTTGTATGTTCTTTTCGTCCTAATATGTTCTGGTAGTCCAACAGCTACTCACATTAGGAGGGAGTCCAAAAAGCTTGTTTGCAAAGCGATGCCACAACTGTAAGTGTGCTTCCTACAAGTAACTGCTAACTCAGACAAACGCAGTCATGTGCGTAGCAAAACGAGCTTGTCAATTCTAAAGCACCGCCGTGCCAGACTTCAAGACTTCAAGCTCATGACTGTATCAGGACTCCAAACACAAGACATCTCACTTGAAATGCAACAGTCTGCACGACAGACCAGCTGTTCGAAGCACAGTGCCTGCGTCGAACTTTCAGAATCTGAGGCTTGTCTTGCAAGTGCAAAATCTCATCTGCGAACTCTTGTATTTGAGGGTCGCGCATCTCGACAAACTTTCCATGGTGCCCTCATGTGCCCTGCTTACAGTATGCTGCATAGAACGGCCAAAGCACTGGAGGCTCAGAGTGGAAGCGTTTGCATTTTGGCTATAGGTTTGGCTGCATTGCCTAGTCCGAAAGTCTATGAATGAAGACCTAGTCAATCTGTCGATCAGCTTTCAGTTGGTTTTTTTTGTTTTTATTAGTATTTCTTACCTCTGCATTTTGTTTACCGACCATTGTATTCAACCCCAACATCCCATTAATGCTAGCCCTGCTTCTTTCTGCGTCAAGACTGTTGTCTTGCCGAGCTGCAGCAGACTGTAAATTACAAGGCTGACTTGTCGGCTAGAGTCTGAGTCTAGAGGTTTTCCACGGTACTCCGCAAGATGAGTCAGATTTCACGTCTGGGCAGCTGGCCTTCTGAATCCTTGAGCTGCAAGTCCTGGGACGCAAGAGGCACTACACAAGCTCAGCAACTTTGACAACTGGTGCCACACCTGCTTCTCAGTGAGACTTTCGCACCTCGCTCGTCAGATCTTCAACGGAAGCTAGACTTCTATTTGGTAGAGCTGACGTGCTGATAGCAACTTTGGATTCTATCCGGCGCACTTGCTGCACGGACCACCGCTTTCAGATGCAACTACCGGTGCGCGACTGAGCGGATTGCTTCCCGAGGGCCACACACCGCATCAGGTGTTGCATTTTCCATTGTTTGCATCAATTTGGCTACTTGAAGGTGCGAGCCGCTACCCGGGCGCTTGGAATGGTAGTGGCATCCGTTGTCGGCATGAGCATGAATAGCGTGACAGCAACTTTCAAGCAGCTTCATTTGAGGCTACACATGATAGATGGTGAAGACAACAAATGTTGCCAACGTAGAGCTTATCTCAACCAAGGCACCGTGAATGAGGGGCTAACAATGGGCGCGTTTCAGCTTGGGTAGCTGCCTTGTGGACCTGTCGGACAGCCAATGAGTTTTCATCACACAAGATCACAAAAGTCTCACGCTGGCCTCTGTGTGGTCTTCCTCCTCACCTGTCAGCAAAACAGTGCCCCAAACTACTGCATTAGAATGCTAAATTGAGCCCCTGTCGAACACTGAGAAGGTTCACCAAACGAGGCTGCACAAAGGCCTCTGAATGCTCGCAACTGCTTGTGGACGTTCGAGAGATCTTACTTACGATCAAAACTTGCTCAAAGACCTGGCGAAGCGGGCGAAGCGGCACCTTTCGCCTCGGACAGCACGCCTCCACAAAAACAACCGAACGCAACTTGAATACAACGTCTGCATAGCCGAGAAGCGGTACAGAACCGGCAGCTCGGGAAAGTGCATCCTCTGAGCATGATGCTTCTGTTGTTCTAGTTTGTGTTCGGACGGTCATCTCAAAAAGGGAGTAACAACTTGCACCGGTCTCATAATGTCTTGACGCTGAGATTTTACTCCCCTCCCCTGGCCCTGGCTCCTCCTTCTGCCGGTTTCTTACCGTCACGTGGCTCAGAGAACCTGCTACGTGGAGCTGTCCGGAGGCCGAGGCATATCACACAACTGCAAAATGCGGCATGCACACGGGCCTTTACTACTGCTTCCAGGAATCTGGACCTGGGAGAGCTGCGTGGATGTGGAGAATTCTGATTGCGTTTACAATCCGCTTGAGAAGTCTGGTCAAGCATGAAGCATACTGGTCCTCCAAAACAAAAGGCCTCCACGGTTCTGCAAGCATTCAAAGCTGACACGGCCAGTGTCGTACGTGTCACAGCGGGTTGGTTCCTCTACGTACGTCCAGACAGATGTCAAGATATGAAACTGCCGGAAGTCCTCAGTACTGGCACCATTCTTCTGCCTCCACCTGGTCAAACGGAGTTTTTCCCCGGCAGTTCTTCGTACACACTTCTCAGCATGCCGCTTGCCAGCATCGACTTGCCGCTCCTTGGAAAACTCTGCGAGACAAATGTCTGAGCAATGAAGTTTGTGGCCCCGCGGCCCCGCCTGGGCATGCTCAGCGTAGAAACGGGCTGTGGCCTCGACTTCTTCCATTTCTTCCATTTCGCATGCGACAGGTTCCAAAACCGGCGTTTACAACTTCCGAGCTACTTGCGACAAACTGCGGGCCGTGGTTGTGACCAAGGGTTCACCTGCATGACATGAACACCGTTGACCATCTTCAAAGGGACCGAATGCCAAATATGTGCTGCAATGCCTCGCGGTAAATTCCTCTCTGCTTTCAACCTGATAAACGTGGGAAATGTGCTTGTCTGCGTGGATGAGTGGTGAAACACGACCCATGCAATCCAAATATGGCAGCATGTCCTGCTGCGGCAGAAGCCGGCCTTCGCCTTGGCAGCGAGAAGATGATTTTGAAGTTGTGCACTTCTGCATCTGACAAAATGCAGCAGGGTCTTCACGGTGCGATCAATTCCCAGTATTTGACTTCAGTTGCGTCAGATGTGGCCTCAAAGCCTACAGAGCCTAGATTAGGTTGTCTCGTGCTTCTGCACGTTTGAGCAAGGATACTCTATGACACTCTGCACAGCTTCAGTGCAGATCGGGCAGGAAAGCAAGGCTTACCAAATGATGCTGCGATCAGCGGTTTGGGCTTGGAGTATTCACTGTGCCGACCATCCAGCTTCAGATGTTTGGATCCTTCCGTGCTGCTCGGAGGGCACTATGATGCTTGTAGCCTGATCCACAGTTCCCAGTTTGCACTTACCTTCACCTTTGGCGGTGGGAACAGGCCCCGCGCAATTATTCTTTTCTCAATGGGAGGGTTGGCATATCATGAGGTTCTTGACCCCTCAATATGAAGGAACCGCTTTTCATCGCAGCAGCTGTGCGCTGTGCACATTGGGCGTGCTTGCGGCAGCTGCATGGCCCCGAAGAGCAGGCTTGCTGCACTTTCTTGGGTCAATGTTGGGAAGCTTGCACGAGAAGCCTGCCATCTGCCTTGAGGTGTAAGCCAAGTCCAAGCACCGGCGCATACGCGCTTGCGGCGCTTGCGAGTTTGAGCCGAAGGCAAAGACCATAACAAACAGCACAACGAGGACACTGCAACCAGAGCAGCCACGACCATAGCGGGGCAGCGGATTTGCAGCAGCAAGCAAGCAGCAAATGCAAAGGACAAGTTGCATCAAATCATTCTGCGGCTTCCCCCAGCTGCTCACAACAATGGCTAAAACTGTGCTTGAGAAACGACAAGCCAGTACAAGAAGTGAAACAAACTTGCCGGTGTATGTGCCGCCGTGGTGCTGTCTCACCCCTTGCCTGCGAAGCCATTTGCGCCAAGCGCCAAGTGCTAGATGGCCTGAAGCCATTGCGTGGTAAGGAGACACATGTTGTTCCGCCTCTAAGTCTAAGTCGAAGACCGGGTAAGTTCTGATCGTCGCCCCAACTTGAAGGCAAGTCAAGAGATCAGCAGGAGCAGGGACCATTATGACAAATATACTCCAAAGATAGCCCCTCGCTGCCTCAAGAATTGCTGCATCTTTGCGTTGCACTTCCAGCTTCATCTCAGCAATCTCTTGCAGAACCTAACACACGCTTGACTCCTCTTATGCCCTTGAATCCTTGAATCGAAGCTTTCTGCTAGGCCTGGCTCGTTTGAACTTTCAAGCTGCACAGTTCGGCCTCAGCAAAGCAGTGGTGAGGCGGGCGCAGTGACAGGCACTGAGCACTGGGGGGCCTGCACGGAGCTCCTCACATTCCTAGGAACATGGCTATTTGAAGAAACGAAGCTGCAGCAGCAAACAACAACTTCTGTGTCCTCGTTCTCAGCGAGGCCTTAGAAGAGCCATCTGTCCAAATGGAAACAAATCTGCGACATTCGACAGCTCAGTCTGCAGCGTGTATCTGCATCTGGCAAATGTGTCAGGAAGGACTGCACCCGGTGTCCAAACCTGAATGATGGCAGAGGTGTTCTTGCGGGAGGCAATGCTGCGGCTACAAAGCTCGGGGCTGTAAAGTCCGCAGCGTCTCGGCCTGCGCTGCAGCATCAAGCCTTGGTGTCTTAGCAACTGCTAGAACCAATGCTCCAAGTTCAGCATGCTTAGCCCCTAAATGTTTCAGGCGGGCTGTGAGCGTAGGCTGCCAACCTCAGAATCATAGTTGTCCGATCCTCCGGCATGACATGAACCGAGTTAACGCGAAGTCCATTGCATAAACAGAAGAACACTCATGCGATCTCATACGCCAAAAAAAGCAACCCAGCAGCAGTGACTCTGCAGCCACCTCAAGCCCCAAGGTTGTGGAGCTCAGAACTCAACATGGACCGAAGGCACACCGAGTCCTGGCACTCCTCCAAGATATCCTGCAGCAGGTGCGGGAGCTTGAAACCACGGCATGGCCTTAGCCCAGCTCCCTGAGACGACACACGAGCTCCCACGATGCTCTGGGTTTGGCACACTAATCGATCGTTGGCATCTGTGCCAACCACCGTAATCTGCCCAGCCTTTTTTTCTTAAATCTGTGTCTCAAACTTGCAAATCTGATGCCAACCCTGGGGCACGTTAGCGGCCGTTAGCGCGCTTCACATGACGTTGGCCAACCCCTGAAGGTCTGGCATACTTTGGCATCTACCCTAGATGAATGACGTACAAAGCATTCTTGAACCGGCTGACAGCTTCCGGCGCCCCCCCCCGCTGCCCTCCCAGCCAACCCTTTCAAAATCCAGAAGACACTTTCAAACTGTAGTCTGTCGCAAGCTGAAAATCTCTTATTCTCACACATTCAATCAGCTCACACCTTTTTGTAAGCGGCTTGAACCATCGCACGTTTCACAACGCCCTTGGTTTTTGCAATGCCTTGCATGAACAAGGTACTCTGACAGACTCTAAAACAATTCCTTTAGCAGCACTTCAGTGCAAATGCATTTCAGCAGGATGAAACCGATGACTTACAGCACCTCAACAGTCACAAGTACTCTGCAGCGATGTCAAATTATGAACTCGGCACTACTCAGCCGGGCTCACGGGTCAACCGGATCAAGACATAGGTTTGTGTTTGAACACAAGAATCATGTTCAACTTTATGGTGCCTGTTTCACATCTTGGACAATAACGCGTCGCGGTCACCGGACTGGAGAGTGAAGATGAGGCATGAAAACGAGTACGAAAAACACGTTCCTGTGTGGAAGGAATTGCAAGGTACAGAAGGCTCAAAAAAGTCTTTTCCAAAACACGAGATGAGCAGTGTGTTTTAAATTAAAATCCACGTACAAGTACTGAGCAACACCTAGACCCTGAACCCTACACCGCGCTTTTTGCCCGTTTGTGCAGAGGAATCGACGGAGAGCGCGGCTTTGCCGCAGCGAGAGAAAGCCTGCAACAGTTTGCTGCCGCACACGGGTGGGGTTAGGGCAACCTGGGCACTAACGTGCCCAAGAACACTGAGGAAGACCTAGACCCCTGGGGATGCAGGCTAAGGAAATGCAGGTGAGCCCCAAAAGGCGGGTGGGCGGGAACCACAAGAGCTGGCCCTGACGAATCCTTCACGCAGGATTCCGCAATTGCACGTAAAATGACAGCGCGGGAGGCGGAGCTCAGCAACTGAATACGTGCCCGGGCTGCTGGCTTGAGGGAGTGGAGCAACAACTGAGCATTATTAGCCTCCTGAAGATAGAACTCAACGGTCTTAAGCTTTGACCAACGGCCCCGCCACGCCACCAACTCCACGTCTTCGGTCAACAAGTAATGGAATGTAGCGCCACTGCCGCGGAGGACACCGGGAGTGGCAGTCTATCAACCTGGTGAAAAGGTACGCCAAGCTGCTCCATGATTGCATTCCATTGACGACGGTCAGTGCGCAGAGAGCCGCGGTAGAGTCGCTCGAACAAAGGCAAACGACCAAATCTAGCTTCCAAGAAACTCAAAGTGAGCGGATCCTCAAGCCGAGTATGTTGCCTCTTGGCAAAGCCTGCCGTCTTGGGGTTTTTTACATGCACGTAGGCAACCCTATCCAACGTCAACGCATCACTGGGGAAAACAAGATCTTTACGAGTAGGGAGACGAACTCCGAAGGATGCCGCATCCCTAAGAACCCTATCGGTGTAACCGCGGCCCAATCACCCCAACCCCACAGCAAAGCGATAGCTACAGCAGCTTCGAGGACAGGCTGAAAGATCACTGGCCGACAATCCCCTGGCTCCGCCAGTTGCCATTTTTTTATCGATCTGCCAGGCAGGAGTGAGGTGATTACTGAGTTGGGGGTAAAGATATTGCACTGCCGTGATGCATTAAACGAACAAGCACCTGGGCAACCCTGACTCGTACAAGTAAAGCCCATAGGCGCGCAGAGCTTTTGCCATGGTGGAAGCTGAGTCAGCCACAAGCGACACAGAAATTGGGCCTCCAGCCAGCTCTCAAAGCCGCTCAAGTTTTTCGACATTCTGTGCCGGGCGGTAGCTGCAAAGCCGGACATCAAGTCGCGCCCACCGCGCGGTGCAAGTGTAGACTGAACAGGCCCAGGGTTTCTTTCGATGTCGCCCCCCAGCAGGAGAAGCAGACGCAGCCAGCGCGCCGCAATCTTGGGGCACCTCGAGGAAGCGGTACAAGTCAAAGCGACGACAGTCCCCGCGCAACGTACCAAAGTGGCACCTCTCGAGTCGGCGGGGGAAGTGGAGTAGACACGCAAGCCACCAGGATACAGGCCTCCACCCAGTACGCAGGGCAAGCAGTCCCTGAGCACATGGCTTAAAAAGCATACTACTGGACCTACCCTTAGCGGAGGCACCTAGAAGAACCCGACTATCGATCAACCCAACCGAACGGGTTCGGGGGTGATGCCTGCAGAGGTATTTCGAGCAGGTCTTGTAGGTGCGAATTTCATTCACAGTGATGTGCCCAGTCCGAGCGAGTAAAGCAATACCTGAGGACCTCCTTGAATGGCAGGGAATCAGCGAGCTCCCCGATCCACTCTGGATCGTCGAAGTACTGGCGAACAAAGGGCCCCCCATCGAGCTCAGCAGGCAATGCATTGAACGAGCAAACCCGCAGGGATTTCAAAAAAAGTCACAGAACCCCTGAAGCGTCACGCTTGGCGGCAAGGCTGCCGGCGGCCATGCGATCGCAGAGAGGGAATGGGTATGAGCCCGAAAAGGAAGCTACATCTTCACCGTCGTTGGCCGACACTCTTGGCGAAACAAAGCAAGGACATCTTTCTTGCACCGCAAGATGCCTACCCTTGCAACCACAGCGGCAACCTTGAGGCAGGTCCGTCAACCATTGTTTGTTGTGAAGCCATTGCAGGGGGGTTTCCTAAACGGAGATCCGAATGAACAGCAGCAAAAGCCAGTCAGGACGGCTCCCCAGGAAGCAAGCACACCGAAGCGGCGCACGAAGAACATGATGCTGGAGCCGGGCTGCTCCACACGGAAGTAGGCAGCCAGACTGGCGGCGACGCAGAAAAGGAACGCAACCATGCAGCCGAGCAAGCAAGTTGCGCTGAGCGGTGAGCGGGTCAGACGGAGCTAAGCCAGAAGCGCAGGGCAGGTTTTTGACCGCACGCAAGGCCGCCTGATTGCGCCAAACGTTAGGCATGGCAGGCCGGCATGGAACTCCCTCACTACGCGCCGCAATACAAGAGGAAGCACCTCGTGAAACACAGTTTTGGACGCCAGGTCCGTAACCCCAAGGCGGCCTCATACAACGTCGAAGAGCGCCCCTTCATGCAACACACTTGAAACCTTCATGTGGACACGCAAAACAGGAACGGGTATGGACGCCGCGGTGTTCAGCACAGTTCGGCCACGGCAGACTGATTGGAATCTGCCTCAACAAGACCAGCACCTTGCGGACTGGCGTCCACAACCTCGACAGCAACCCGGCAAAGCACGCTAACCCGATGCCTGGGGCGTCCACAAAGCCGGCTTGGCCGTCAACCTCTGCACCTAAGAACGCGCCGCGAGCTTCACGCAAACCCAATAAGTATTGTACTATTTTGGGGGCTATATTGGGGTCCCGCTACTTAGAGAAACGATCTAAAATTGCAACAGCTCTGCACTGGCACTAAAGCAGAGCTTCGGGGTTGTCCAGCATTAGGGGACCCTTTTCGAGGGTTTTTAGTTCTTGTAGTAAGGGTTATAACACTTCTTGGGAAGCTACCACATGATTTATGCCCTACAGCTCAACGCGTGTCACGCCAACACATATCGTGCAACCGGTTGCTTCTCAAGCACACGGCGGCGGCTGGCGACGGCTCAGAACTTGGGGCCCGGAGCCAACCGGGCCTTCAAGCCACGGGTTTGGCCTTATTAGGACAAGACCTCTTGCCATGTCCTTCGGCCAACAAATCTGACGCGCACGGTGGAAAGGGCTTGTCTTGGCAGGACTGTTAGAACGAAAGCATAGCTTCTTGCCATCGGCCAACTTGGTGTTGAGCATTGATTTGATGACCTTGCCACGCTCAACGCCCTTGCCCTTGCCATAATTGCCCTTTCCTTTTCCACCTTTGCCATGCAAAGGAGGCGGCGGTCGGAAAGGGTAATCCGACGAAGGCCAACCATCAAAACCGGTAGGAGTAGAAAGAAATTCAGTAGACGCAGTCAAAGGCACCAAGAAATGCTTGTTGATGATCTCGGGAGATTCCCACGCCAACCAACGCTTTGCTCAGGGAGTCAAGCTTTCCATCACATAGGTTTTTGCAAGCCCTCTTCTGGACTTCTAGCTCACACGACAGAATTAGCTTCCACACAGGGCGCCTAGTCGAGCCGCCGAACATGATGGGCAAGCCGGCGACACGCTTCCCCCCCACCAAGTGGTCTGAAAAACGCCGGAAAGTCTCCAAGCGCTTGGATCCCACCCTCCTGGAGATCGTCTGCACGAAGATCGCCGGACTCGCTCTGCTCCAGCTTGTCTGCAATCAAGCTTTTGGCCAGGATTTCATCATGCTGCAACTTGCCTAACGTGGCATCAGCAGCTTTGCGCAACGCTGCCATTTCAGAGCATTGGACGGCACGAGGCGTCTAGCCCAGCTTGCTTTCCACGTTCGTCTTATCCCACAGTTGCACGCGGGCAGACTCCCAGGCAGACAACAGACGAGCCACATTCTGACGGGCATTAGTGTCCTCGTCATGCTTCAAACCCCGATCTCCATGGCTATTGCGTTGCGGACTTCCAAATGAGATTCGTCAGGGCCCACAAGGCCTTTGTGATAAAGCGCAGCTTGCACCTCCACCGGCGCCTTGACCTCCGACAAGTGGAACTTGAGGTCAGGCGACGCGGCATTTAACGCCGCTTCGCGTTGCTCGGCAGAGAAGGAAAACAAAGGCATCAAGCAGAACTCAAGGCAAGGATGCCCAAGCGCTGAAACTTGACACGCAATGTCGTAAAGGCTAGAAATATAACAAACGCAACACGCACAGCTAACATAGCCGTTGCTAGCGACCCAAGAGGCACACCAACATGTGGCCCTGGGCACGCGCACATTGTACACAGAGACAAGGAACGCAACATT